AAGGAGAAACTTCCTGACAGTTAGAACAATTAACCAGTGGAACAACCTGCCTCCAGAAGCGGTGAATGCTCCAACACTGGAAGTTTTTAAGAAGAAACTGGACAGCCATTTGTCCGAAATGGTATAGGGTTTCCTGCCTGAGCAGGGGGTTGGACTAGATGACCTCCAAGGTCCCTTCCAACTTTATCATTATTATTATCATCATCATCATCATCATCATCATCATCATCATCATCATCATCATTATTATTATTATTATTATTATTATTATTATTATTATTATTATTATTATTATTATTATTATTATATCCATATTACCTCGGTAGTAGAAGAGGCAGTAATTGGAAAGGACAAACCAGCGCCGTTTCCACAGTTTGAGCCCAGAGCTATCCTGAAAGAAACAAAAAGAAAAGGTGGTGGGTTAGTCCAAAGTCGTGTCTTTGTAGGTCCCAGGTCTGCTAGAGTTCTGCAATGATATCAAGCGATTTGGGGCCATTTCGCACCCATGATCAGAATTTTTCATTTTTTTTTCTGGGGTTTAAAAAAGGGAATTGTGAAGAGTTGTTTCGTTTTCACATGATGCTAAACCCAATTTAAAACTGGCTACAATTTTAGCGTGCTTCCAAACTCAAGCTAGCAAGAAAAAAACAGTTCAGCAATAGTACCGGTAGCCCCCAACTTACAACCATTTGTTTAGTAACTGTTTGAAGTTACAATGGCCCTGAACAAAGTGACTTATGACTGTTTTTCACCCTTACGACTGTTGCAGCTTCCCCACAGACATGTGATCAAAATTCAGAGCTTGGCAACTGGCGTGTATTTACGGTAGGGCAGTTGTGTGTCCCGGGGTCACATAACCACCTTTTGCAACCTTCTGATAAGCAAAGTCAATGGGGAAGCCAGATTCACTTATTGTGTTACTAACTTAACAACTGCAACTATTCGCTTAACAACTGTGGCAAGAACGGTTGTAAAATGAAGCATAGCTCGCTTAACAACTGTCTCGCTTAGCAATAGAAATTTTGGGCTCAATTGCGGTCATAAGTCAAAGAGTGCCTGGATTCAATTTCGTGAAAGCTTATCCTTTGAAATAAAAATCGCTTAGTCTTAAAAGGTGCCCTCAGACTCCTTCTGATTTTGGGCTCCTTAGATTAACATGGTGTCTTTCCCACAGCTCTCCCTTAAGGTCCATCCTCCCTCAAGCTAAGAAATCTGCATTTCTCAGAAACCATTTACCTGCTTATAAAGCCAGCCACGCATTACAACGGGAGAGTTAGGATCCCTCTTGATGGAGTTTGCTCTCTTCCCAAATGTGTGCACTTTCCGGACAGGCTGGGCTACGTGTGGCTATGGGAGAAACAAATGGATAAATGTAAAATAAACTTACTATATTAAAGAGTACACTCTCTACTGAGCTATCCATCTATTTAGCTCAGCATTACTGATCTTAAACAGTCCTCCAGAACTACGTTCAAACCAAGAGTCCTAGTTAAAAAGCTAAGAACTGAATCAAAATCCTTTGTGAAGAAAACCACGTCTCTGTCTGTGACCCATAGCAGGAAAAAAAGGTGTTTTGTAGCTTTCAAGGAATTTAAAATCTCCAAGTTAGAAATACCGTATTTCCCTGAAAATAAGACCTAACCAGAAAATAAGACCTAGCATGATTTTTCAGGAGGCTCGTAATTTAAGCCTGCACCCCAAAAATAAGCCCCCGTTAAGATTGTCAGACAGATGGATGCATTTAGTATGCCCGTTGCAACACACGATGGATGTATTGAATTATAAAATAATTATATTAATTATAATTAAATATAAATAAATAATATTATTGACATTATTTATTTGAATAAATGTAGATTATGGTACATGAAAAAATAAGACATCGCCTGAAAATAAGCCCAAATGCGTCTTTTGGAGCAAAAATTAATATAAGACCTACTCTTATTTTCAGGGAAATACGGTAAGAGGAAAGGGGTGTATTAACAATGTATTCGAGGCCAGGTGAAAAAGATCTGAGAAGATAATATGTGCATCTATACACTCAGTTATACTGAAGTGAGAGTTGGGTGAATCAGAAGACATCCAAACATAAATTGCAACAGTGGGAATATGGTAAAATCAACAGAATGGATGAGTTAGTGAACTAGAGATAGTCCTTGACTTACAACAATTTGCTTAGTGATAGTTCAAAGTTACAATGGCACTGAAAAAAGTGAGGTACGACCATTTTTCACACTTATGACCGTTGCAGCATCCCCGTGGTCACATGATTTACATTTGGATACTTGACAACTGACTCACATTTATGATGGTTGCAACGTCCCGGAGTCATGTGATCCCCTTTTGCTACCTTCTGACAAGCAATGTCCATGGGGAAGCCAGATTCACTTAACAACTGTGTTATTAATTTAACAACTGCAGTGATTCACTTAACAACTGTAGCAAGAAAAGTCGTAAAATGGGGCAAAACTGTCTTAACAAATTTCTCACTTAGCAACATAAATTTTGGGCTCAACCGTGGTCGTACATTGAGGACTGCCTGGAATGTAAATGAATGAATGTGAACTGAAAATAAAAGTGAAACATTGTAGGAAACATCAAGGAAGTTGGCCATATACAAAGAACAAATGAGAACTGTATCAGAAAACTTTCTTTTTCTTTCTGGTGTTTTCCCACAGGTATAAGATGTGCTTTTCGGATCAAATGTTGATTCATCAGTTGCGACCATTAATTGCGAAAAAAATGAATGGATCAAAAGGAAGTGGAAGAAAGTAAGTTTTGATTGGGTGAAATTGATGAGATCCTCAAAAGGAGAAGTTCAAAGAATCAAAGGCAACCTACAAATTTATGGATGGACTTGAGGGATATAGTCTAAACCAGCTGTATTTTATTTTGTTGTCCTTCATTTCTTGCCTTCATTGTTTTTTACTTTCTACTTTTAACTCCTTTTCTGTGCTTTGTATAATGTTGCTTAGCCCCAAAGGGAGTGTCCTGTTTCTCATAGTAAGCAATGGATGTTTTAATTGCTATTCATGTATCATAAGGTTGAAATAAGATTTTTAAACCATTAAAATTTTATCTAGGTGCATAGAAGACTATTATATTGTGGCTTTATTCCTTGAAAAGTGCTTTATCTTTCTAAGGAACTAAAGGTCACAAGCTGAGATTTTCTTTTCAAACCATCAAGATACCACCAATGGCTAATGCAGGCATATAAGGACAAGAGTAAATATTTGAGGATTAGAAATTGTTATGCAAGTTTTTTAGCTTTCCTTCTTTCTTGGAATAGGATTCTAGTGTTGTTCTTTTAAAAAGCACAAGTGTTTGACCCAAGAGATAACCAATTACTTTGAGGTTCTTTGAAAATAAGACTGAGTAACAGCCCAACAACACTCAGGAAAAACAAATATAGGTAAAATAAATGGTGGGTGACTCATTTTTATGTCTCATCTGTCAGGTTCCCATCAATTCCAGGTCCTCACCTTTGTTCCCATCAAGACTGAAGAGATGGTGGCTGTACTGCTGGCTAAACTCGGACCACTTTTAGGTCTATCCCCTTCTGACATTGTCCCCGGTGAATTTGATGTTAATCTGCAAAAAAACAAACAAACCAGATTATATTATAAATGTGATGCTTTAGAGTAGTGTTTCTCAGCCATGGCAACAAGAGAAAGCGTGGGCTTCAACTCCCATAATTCCTCAGCCAGCCATGTTGATTGAGGAATTCTGGGAGTTGAAGTCCACACATCTTCAAGTTGCCAAGGCTGAGAAACATTGCTTTAGGGCAGGGGTCCCCAACCCCCAGTCCATGGATCAGTACTGGGCTATGGCATGCCAGCAACTGGTCCACACAAACAAGCAAAGCCCCATCCACAAGATGCAGGCAGCACACAAAACTACGCACCCTCCGGTCCGCAGAAAAACCTCTCTCCACGGAACCAGTCCCTGGTGCCCAAAAGGTTGGGCACTGTTGCTTTAGGGGGAACTCACAAGTACAAGACCACCAATTTGAAACAATCCGTTTTTGAGAAAGACAGAGCATATGTCTTCAGCTTTTCAAAAGGTATCAAATGTAACCATCCCTGGAGGTTTTCAAGAGATTGGACAATCATTTATCCAGAATGGTGTAAGGTCTCCTGCTCAAATAGGGGGTTGGACTAGAAGACCTCCAAGATCCCTTCCAACCTTGTTATTGTATGCAATTCTAACCCTAACCAATCAATTGGTGAATTCATATTTGGTCAGTTCTTTAATCTTTACCTATCAGACTTCCCTTTCCTTCCTCATTTCTTTTTCCATCTCTTAACAAAAATGCATTTAGTCTCTGTTTAGGATAATATATTGTCCTAATCCAGGTTTATCAAACAAGCCACAGTGGCCTACTTCAGGAAATACGAACTCACTTCTTGTAACAGCCTTGTAAATGAAGGTTCCAAATCTGCAAAATAATTTATTGGCCAACTGGGATCAGACAGTGTTGCATCCATTTGGTTCCTGACTTAAGTTTCGTTTCTCCTGAAAAGCTTACCTGCCTGCCTTAGGTTTCGTTTCCTGACTTAAGTTTCATTTCTCCTGAAAAGCTTACCTTGAATTAGTACCTCCTTGACTTAAGTTTCCTGTTCTTTGTGTATGGCAATGAAGAGCCATCCCCCTATTGTCCTTTTGTACACCCC